GGGCAAAATAAACAAGATGCCGCGAGGAAAAGGAGTCAGAAGAACGCTCGCGGGGAAGGAGAATGAACGGGAATGGAAAAGGATTTCACGGGGAGATGTAATATCTCGGTCCACTCTTCTTTTCACATCCTCCGCTCGATCTCGGTATTAATTTCGCGGGCGAATAAAATTGTAAATTCCGTCTTTTCAATTCTAAATCGATTCTTCTCTAACAGATAAAAATTTTGATTTTTCGTCAAGTTGCTCTTAAATTCCATCGTATATTCGGAAATTTTGTATTAATTTTTCACGACGCTTCATCGACGATAATCCCTGATGATTTCGCAAAAAAAGACATTCACTCCCGCGGATAATAGTAGCTCATACTTGACGATTTAACTTGATTACCGTTCTATGCTTTTCTACTTGTCGAGGCCTCCGTGTTAAAGTTCATTGATACGTCAATTTATAATCGCGGAGAAAAATTCCGAATCTTCGCAAATAATCTATTCATGACGCAGACGAGCTCGTCAACGACTTCAATCGCGGTGATCGATCAAAAAAAAAAAAAAAAAAAAAAAAAAAAAAAAAATCGAAAGCTACGTAGAATCGTCGCAGAGGCATGCTACTGCAAAGACTGTACCGTGTCCAACGTCAATAAAACTTCGCCATTCCTCTTCTCTCTCTATCATCGCTCTCTGACTCAGAACTTAATTGGAGAACAAAAAACCCGAGGAGATCCAATTGACCCGGAAGCGGACGTCAACGCGGCGCGAGCGACGATCGTACGAATAGCAGTAGAAAAAAACCTGAGCCTTTGAGGAAATTGAATTAAATGAGAAAATTCAAGCGACGGTCGAATCGCTCGTTTCGCTCGTTTTCTCTTATGCAAATAACGTCGGCATAGAAACGAGGAGAGAAAAAAAAGAAACAAAGACGAGATCGAGCAAAGTATCGACGACGGATACGATGACGATGATGAAAAACGAGGTACTTTCGAGGATCGATAGAGAAAACGCGTCTCATTCGCGCGAAGAGGGAAAGATAAAGAGGAACAAGGACGAGCGCATGTAGGGCCCCGCGGGGTTTCAGGGGGAGAAGAGGGGGGCCTGCCTCCTCATCGTCGTGGCAGCACGTGTGTAGCAGAAGCGAACCCGGGGCCCCAGTTCGGTCCGTGCCTCGTAAAGCCTTTCATAAAAGCTTTCATAAAACGTTTCACGATCTCTTGGTACCGAGGGAATCCAGCGCCGATCAACGTCTCGCAAGATTCGTCCGTCTTTCTCAGCGCCTTCTTCTTCTTCTTCGTCTTCCTCCTACGCGGCAAAAGATATTTTCTCGGTCGAGTGCGAGATATACATTTCACGTATTCTCGTGAAAATCAGAATAAACATAAGAATTGCCGTAAGATTGCTTCGCGATGAATCATTGAAAAAGTTGTAGAGTTGTTCTCGTATTATTTTCCATCTTTCATTCTTATCCTAGTTTTTCTATTCGCATAAAATTTCATCGAAAGACATCGAGACGATTCAGAGGCCGGTCGAATACCTGAAATCTTTAACGTCTCTCATCAACCATGTGTGGGGAGGGTTCTTTGTCCCCGTTCAAGGAGGAAGCTCCGATTTCGATCTTGCAACGATTCGTTTTTTGGGACCATCGTACCCTAACTCATACGTGCCCAAGCGAGATACGCTCGCGGAGACATAAAAGCTCGTAACCAGACTGATCCAAACTCTTCCCCTCCCGCCGGTTTTATCCCCTCCCCCCTTCCTTAATATCCACGATTCCCTGTTCCTTTCCTCTCTCGCTACCAACGCGTCTCGAATTAAACCCGACCAGCAGATACGACAGATTCGTTGAATAGCGGTCGTCGAGTTGGCTGGCTTTTTGAATTCGGCGTTTCTTAACGAAGGGTTTGCAGCGGCCGTTCCTTCGGAGGAGGAGGCTCGCTTTTTGAAACGACAACTTTTTGTTCAATGGCTTTTCAAAGAGACACACACGTATCTGTCACCGGGGTTTGTAGCGCGTGACGATGAAGATCGAAAAACAACTAAATGAAGAAAGTTTCGAGCTCCTTCTAATAATTCTTCTTTCCTTTCGGCCGGACACGTGTGTATCTCTTCGAGTAGATAATCATCCGGTATAATGTCCATTACTTTTAAGGCCTCGCTAAATTGAACGACGATCTATATATATATAAAAGAGAGAAAGAGAGATACCCCCGTCGATCGTCGGCTTGAGCCGATTTCGAAGACGGAGCGGATTTTCTCGCCCGACGGGTGGCATTCGACGATCATTCTTCGGACGCGATGCTGCGGACGGATATCGTTGAAAAACGCAATCGAGCCGGGAGAATCGCGCGTTATCAGTTAATGAATCTGGCCCCGGTGCGACGGGACGACGTGGTGCCCGGGGGCCCACGCGGAGAGAAGAGGCCTGTCTCCGTCTCAAAAGTCTCCGCGGGCCCTCCTGACAATGGCCGGGCGTCCGACGAATTTCGAAAAGGACAAAAATAAAAAATGATCCCGCGCGCTCTTCTCGCGCCGAGAAGGAAGCTGCTCTCCGGGGAGAAAGGGGAAAGAGATCGCCTCTCCTTTCTATCCGTTCCTTCTGCTGCGTGCCTGCCCGCTGTCCGTCCGACTGTCCGTCTTCTCTTTTCAACCTTACTGCCTTTTATCCGGGCGAAATGATTAATGGGTTCACGGAGGCACCGCGGTATCTTCCCCTCCTCCCCTTCTTCGGATCCCTCATCAGAGATCCCTCCCTCCCAAAGTAGCCGTCTCTCTCTCTCTTCCACCCGCGAACATAGACGAGACTTTTCTGCTTTTCTTCGCGCCAGATTATCACCTTTCTCTACCCCCTCGCGCCAGCAATTGTACGACACTGGTATACACCTTTTCTCTACCATCGGTGTATCGCTTTAATATCGCGGCGCCATGAAATGGAGCGGTTAAGTTGGACGGAATGTCTGACGGAATCGATTAATCCGACAGTCGCTCGTAACAAACATTTAAAAGCGGAGGATATATAGGTCTCGCGGAGCGTATACATTAACTTTTAGCCGATTCCAGATGTTAGATATAAAGGATACACGTGACTCTCTTCGAGATTAACGCGAAACGATAATGTATTCTCAACGGAAGAGACAAATATGTAAGATATTTATTCGTCGAGGCGAGGTTCACATGAGAGGCGAGTGACGCTCGGTCTAAGAGAAGTACCGTCTTCCCCTTTTTTGTCGTCGGTCTCTCTAACCGTGTCATTGTCAAGACGCGCGTTACCGCTCCAAGCTCTTTTACATGATAAATTACGCGTGATTTTTTTTTGTATCAATCGCGACGATCACGTCGTGCCGCAACAAGTCGGCTTTTGTTTCTCGTCACCTGCATGTAGGTGGCGACCAGTTGAGGGAGAAGCAAAGCGGATGACAAGGCGCGGGACACTCCTCGCTTCGGTCCTTGTCATATTTTAATTAGACATTATATCATATTTTTATAATACAATATACATATACGTCACATGTCGTTCAAAATAATAGTTTGTCTATAAACGTAGATCATTCACCGTTAAAAAAATCATATATTCACGCATCATCAAAATCAAATAATTAATAATTAAATTAATCAATTAATTTATATAATATATCAATTAATTTAATAATGTTTGAATGTATTTAGATGTTCAGATGTTTATGTTTCATAATCATTTTCACAAAATTCCATGTGTATATGTATACTTATAGGTATTTTATGTTACTTTATGTTATGTTATTAGGTTTTATAGTTTACGTTTGAATGTAAAAGTTTTTAAAAGTTGTACTGAGTTTATGTAGTTAAATATGAGTTGTGTGTATATTAAAGTTTTAAGTTGCAAAGTAGTAGAGTTTTAAGTTGCAAGGCAAGGATTATGAACAAATAATAAAATAGATAATTTATTCAAATTGAATCGCGCATTAGCCTTCAATTCAGTTTTTTCTCTATTCCGATAAAAATTCCGACAAAAACTTTTTTCGACATGTAAATAATCGCGTAAGCTAAAGCGACTTGAGAATTCCGGGGCCGCGGGGAATTCTCGAGAGCGTCAACCCACGCTGATCCGCGGCTTGCAACGGGAAACGATGACGCCTGGCTCGATCTCGAAGGCATCCATCGATCGCGGGTCGCTTAGCTTAGCGCGCAGTCCCGGGACCGACCGACTTTATGAGTTATAAGTCGGCCATCTTGCCCGAGCCATCACATATTCACGTGCGCGCATATGCGATGCACCGGCAATATGTAAGTGCCACATTCTGTTCTGGTGCACGTACAGTCCCGGCTGAAAGCTGTGCCGGCGCACAGGCTCATACGAACACGAGAGCCTCCCCTCCCCCCTCCGCCACCCTCCCGTCATTCGTGCTCCCTCGACCAGCGCAACGTATCGCGAAAAGTGCATTCGTTTATCGCGATGCCGGCTGACGTAACCGCTGCTGCTCGGCAGAGGCTTCTCTAATTCATGTTGCATCCGACAACCATCATCGAGCTGGCTGGCTACCAGCGGCGATTCTCGACGAAACGCCGGGAGAACAGACGCTCACTTTTATCGCTGATATTCATTCATTCGTTTGCTTTCCGCCGGTGTCGAATTCGCGGAAACAAGGCGACGCGATCGAGTCGTCCGAAAGCGTCGAAATTTCGTCGATTGATAATTCTAGCGGGATTGATCACCGGCCAAGTACGATCGCGAACGTCAAGCAGTCGCGCAGCCAACGATCGATCTTATGCCAACCTCGCATTCAATGCCAACCAATCCGTGTATTCTAATTTGTCTAACGACTTTGTCGGATGATAATGTGGGCGGTTCTAATTGCCATATTCGACGAAATGGAATCACGACATTAATCCTTGAAATAATCGTTCAAAGATATTCAACATCCGAATCGTATTACCAATCGATTTACGACTTTGTATCGAGATTATACGGATTATATCGATTTATTCGGTAAAGTCTAAACCGTCGATAATCACTGAATTTTCAAAGGTACTTACCTTGAGTCTGCTGACCAACGTTTGGGTTGAGAAACGTGGGCGGCAGTTGCCTGCTGACCGACTTTGCCAATTCACCTCCTGCCAATCCGTAGATAGCCAGAAGTTCCTGCATCGTCGACTCCGCATACTCTCTCATGCCCTCGAAGGGCTTTTGCTCTTCGATCTCGGCCTCGCCGTCGGCGTCGTTGCCTCGGTCATCTTCAAACTGCGTGTCCTGATCGTCCAGGCGAGACGACTCCGCGTCCAGGACGCCGCTCCCACTTCTATCCGACGAGTCAGAATTTGGACTCCTTGCCTGCATATCGCAGATACACATTTATCAGATATTCGAGAGTAAATATTTTGCGTTAAATAAATACTGAAAGGTAAGAATTCAATTGATAACAACTTACCTCTGTACCAGGCGAGTACAGCTTCCGCGATCTCAGCTGCTCGAGGATGAACTTGTGCCTGAGAGAGTCCCCGCTATCATCATCGGCCTCGGAGGACGGCGGTCTCGTGGTAACCGAGAGGTCCATCGGGCTGACCTCGTTATTGTTTAGCCTCTGCTTCGATCTATCCTCAGCCGGCAGCAGCATCGTCTTCCTCTCGTACTCGAGAATCTCGCTGGAACTCTCCTCGACAACTTCCGGCTCGTCGTCGTCCCTCTCGGACTCGTCCGATACCTCCGCCATCCGGCTGCTTATGGGCTTGAAGTTCTTCCGTTTGTTTCGCGGTTTGCTTTGGATGCTGCTGGTGATCTGCAACTGGGCCTGTGCCTCGTACTGGGAGTCGCTGTCTTGATCGGCGGCGCCCCGTCGGGTCGTCGCGTAGTTGTAGACCGAATCGGAAAGCATCTCCGCTGATGAAGAGATGAGATTTATTCCATCTGATTAGGCGCTACAATCTTACCGTTTTATTCTTTGATCGATATCAATGACTCGCGCGCGAGACTCGAGTTATTTTGCCTCGTTTTTTTTTGCCGCCCCGGACCTTCGATCTCTCAAACAAGTTGGGAATGAAAATAATTCGGACGAGCAACGCCTCAGTATTTGCATCGCGAGGATGAGACAATAGTCACTAATTCCATGTAACAAATACCGCGACGTTTCAACGCGCGTTGCCCGTTTCTCATATCGCAGTTAATAGATATCAATTTTTAGCATCAATTATAATCCCGCGAACTCAAACGCTGAGCGCACGTTGTAGGAACGACGATATGGCCGTGGCTTATATACGCCACATAGTTTTGCAAAATTAACGTCGCGATTCGTGTGTTCTCGCCAGCAATCGCGCGACTACTTTCACTTAAAATGATCGCTCGGAACCGCGTAGGACGAATTCTTCGCGCAAAATTGCGAAGACAGACATTCATTTATCCCATAAATAAATCAAAAATATTCCCAAGTTTATGTGCAATCTCTGGGCTATTTTAATGTCACTACGAATTTTGACATTTTGTGAGAGCCAAGTTTATATGATTCAACTTGTTGAGACTGCACACTCCGTGCGGGATAAATCTCCTAATATTTGAACAATTGAAATGAA